AAATTTTTTTTTTTCCTTTTTATTTAGAGAATGCAGTTTTGTTTTTGTTGTCTCTTTTTTTTTCAATATCTTTTGAGAAGGTAATTCTGTAGCAGATATATATTTTTTCTTATAAGAAACAATAAACTTCATTGATCGAGAAAGATTACTGAAGTTTCAAGATGGATGAGAAATCCATCAAAATGAAAGCAAAGAAAGCAAAAACAAAAACCACCAGAACCGAGATACAAAAGACGAGAACAAAAACAAGCAAAACAACTAGAGAAAACCAAACAGAAGCTAGATCCAAAGGCCACATCTTATTCAAGATGACAAGATGTCTTCCCAACTTTAACATGATCAGCCATGGTGGAAAAAATTGAGATTTTTAACGAGGCTTAAAACCCGGGATTGTCGGAGTCTTGCAAATTGCGAGTTTCGACTTTGTTCTTGGAAAAATGAGATGACTAAGAAGGCATACAAAAAATCGGATTAACCCATCGATTTTCACAATAACAAATATGAAATTGAAACAAGAACACTCGGCAGATCGCCAAATTCTATAGAGAAACTAACAGACATTAAAAAGGGCACACAGGAAATGTACGCCCCATTTCATAAACAAAAAGCCATCATACGATCATACGTCAAGCTATACCTATGAACAAATATATCATAGTGTCACATTTATTTCAAAAAGATTATAAAAGAAAACGAAATTTCCCCGCTCTTCAGTAGGTCATGATCTAATCCATGTTATGGAAACCAGGGAGAAGGGAAGTAATGAAACCGAAAACAATCATCTGAATCTCCTTTACAAACGCCCACCACTGGTTACCACCATTGCCTCCATTAGGTTCTGCTAAATGCTCATTTTCCACTGGCTGATCTCCATTATCTGCGGGCCGGTTTTCCATCTCAGCTCCTGGTTGCCCTTCTGCCGTAAGTTGTGATAAAAAACAGCTCTTTAGTTCAATAAAGAATACAGACGGATGTAGGCTAGGCCAGGCTGGAAATAAAATTAACTACACTGATTCATACTCCAGTCCAGACGCAAACAAAAAGTGCCTATTAAAGTGACCTGACTTCAAAGATTGTTGGAGCCAAAGATAACAATAACAACATAATTCTCAAACGCCCGATCCATCAATCACTAAAAAAGTTCTCGAGAACTATATCAAATAAAGGACTGCTGTATCATTAAGAATAATTTTTCTTATTCCTTTTATGTATGTCTGTGTGTGTGTGTGTTGAAATTCTTCTATATATGCACTTACCAATAATCTTGTATTCTTGTTATCTAGAAAGCTCGTATATATGCACTTTTCTTCTATTATATGAAACTAAATATATGTGCATATTAAGGTACCGTTAAAAAGTTATTACCTGCCAAAGCAGCATTTTCGATTCCCTGCCTTGCAGGAGGAGGAACATTCTCAGCCCTGACTGCAGGTCTCAGTGGATGGGGAGGCACGGCTGCCCTATGCATGCCTTGTGAAAGCCACCGTATCATTGGCGTGAGAGCTCCAGTTTGATATCTGCAACGTTGCACATCTACAGAGTTCAGTTTCCACTACATGACTTTATATGAGCTTATAGGAAAATTAAATTTGATGAACGAAAAAAAATTAACTAGAACTATAATGCAGATCTGACATGCATCACATAAATTCACGTAATGATTGATTGCTGCGGTAAGAAGTTGTATCCATAGAAAGTCTGGTATCAAAAAATGTTAGAAGTCCCAATGCTGTTTTCAGAAAAGAATTTCACACACTTACAGATAGACAAGCAAAGCAAATAACACAAGGACAATAAGCCTGTGTCTTGATCCATCTTGGTTGAACAAAAATATAACTGCTGCCAGCTTCAAAATAAGCAACAAATCCAGCTGAAAAGCAATTTGAAACCTCCTTTGAACAAGATGTCTTTGTGGTGCAGGCTGTTGATGCTGGCGTTGCTGTTGTTGGCCCTCTTGCCCACGCTCTTCACCTACAGCCGTAACCTCTGTACTTGATCTACTGTTGATAGCAAATACAAAATCCATAGAAGGACGAAACAAGTACAACAAATTTTTCATCCATACTTTTTCCGGAGATGTGATTAAACAAAGACAAATGGCAAAAAAAAAAA